GTAGATGGATGTCAATATGATGTCCTGAAGATACAGCTCAATACATCCATAGAGTTGAAGAACAGCACGTTTAAATCATAATGGTCAAGCATTATTATTACTTACACATAATGAACAAGCATTTATCGAACAATAGAAAAAGCTAAAGTACCATTGAATAGAGTAGAACCAAATATTGCACGAATGAAGAATATTGCTAATGATATCACTGAGTTAATGATTGAACTTCCAATTATTAAACACTATGCTGAAAAGAGTATTGATGCATATATTTATAGTCTAACAAAGATGCATAACAAAACTGTTTTTGATTCTGAAAAAGTTGATGAAAAAGCAATGAGACAATCTTATGGATTATTTGCTGATAAATTAGAAGAAACAAACAAAGAAGATCATATTAAATTTGAAGATGACGATGACGATGTTGTAGAAGAAGCTGCTACAAAAGCTGAAGAAGAAGAAGAAGATGATGATGATGATCTATTAGAAAAAGCAGATGAACAGATTATTGAAGAAGTCAAACCAAAACAATTCGATATTTCAATTAAACCAAAACGATTAACTAAGAAAGCAATTCACTCAGTTGGAACATACATCAAATTTGAAGACTCTGATAACGAACAAGACGACCAAAATGACTTAGTTGAAAAGATGGAGGAAGAAATGAGAGTTGCTGATATTGAAGATAAAGAAACTGCAAAGAAAGAATTGAAAATTAAACGAATGAAAAAACAAAGTGCACTAACTGGATTTGCAGACGTTGAAATTGCTGACGACAGAAAAAGAAAGATTAGTCTTACTGAATCAATGAAAGAACCAAAAACAAAGAAGACAGCAGAAGAAATGTTACAAGAAAAGTTAAAAGGAAATTCATTACTTTAAAAAACTAGACATTAATTTTGATTGATTTTTTGATTAGAAATTATTTTGTGTTTACTCAAAGCAATTTATAACGGGTAGTGTATAGTAATTTTTAGTTTGTATTTATAAAGGTCTAGATTAGATGGAATTAATTTCTATTGGTATTATATTTCCAAATCTCTATCATGTTCTGTTAAATTATATATTTTTCATATTTTCTTTTACTGTTTCCTTTTAATGACTTAGACAAATTTCTAAACTAACAAAGTTATTAACATTATTAAAATACATTGATGTTATCATTATTTCATTGTATTATATTTTCATTCCTTCTTTATTATTTATTATTGTATTTTCTATTCTTATTTTTATCTTATATTTTATTTTATTATTTTATTGTTTTGTCTTGTATATTTATTTATCAATGATAATATGAAATAAGTATTAATGAATGAATATAAAAGAAGAATAATAAAGAAATATAAATAATAATTTATTTTGTCTTTTCTTATTTATATTTTTGTTATTCTTATTCATTTATTTACTTAAAATATAAAAATTATTTCCTTTCAATTACAATGATTCGTTTTGGTATGAAACATTCTGTTAATGTTTTCGATAAAGTGAATTTTGATATTTTGTTATATGAAATGTTTGTTGTTTACAAAAACAAACTCCTTTTACCACTTTCATTATAACACGTTATCACCATTCTAAATACAAAAATATAATCAATTGATTACTCATATAAACTTTGTTTATATCATTATTCATTGATATTAAATTTCATCATTCCCTTTTAATCTTCATTTTGGTTCTAATGAAAATAAAAATGATTTTGGGTTATTTATCATTTTACTAACTTTATCAATTTTCACATTAACATATCCTCTAAATTTATTTCCATTTGTATTTTCAATAATAATTGGTATATGTTCTTTATTCATTACTCTATCACCAAATACTCATGTATTAACATCTCAACCATCATTATTTGAATTAATTAGTATATTGAATACTCTTCTTGACGTTCATTCTACTATTTGGTGAATTTCTTCTATATGCTCATTCCTCTCATTCTTTCTAATCCTATTTTTCTTTACTTCTTCTATATAAATAATCATAAATCATTTCTACTCTTCATTTTTATTAATTATTTCTTGAGTTTTCTTAATTTATTCTATTTTCTGAATATTTTATCTTTTATTCATTCTTCAACTGAAATGATTTCATTTATTAGTTCATTCGTTACTTTATTAAATATTTCATCATAATTATATTCTTCTATTATTTTGTTCATTTGATTCTTTATTATTTCTATTCTTTTAATTGTTTCTTGACTTTTTTCTATTACTAGTTTTCTT